TTTAGTGTGTATTACACCTCGAAGTACGGCACGTGCCTCACAGCGACCTAATTACGATACAATACAAACAGTCATTTATTATATAACGTGCGAACTACTGCTTTCAAAAATAAATAAATCCCGCCCCTTTTACACCATCTCTAAACTACTTTACATTTTTTATCCCCTTAAAAAAGATGACAAAGAAAAGGCAAGCTTAAGATTAGAGGGAACGGTGGCACCAAGTCGGTTCTAAAAATCGACCTTTAATACTTTCCCCTCAAATAATGGTTCTCCTCACCCTCAAAAACCGTATATTATTCTCCCCAAAAATCCTACACTATATTTTTCAAAAATTTTACACACTTTTTACACTTTTTTTACATTCGTACAAACATTTTTATGCGAATACGTTACACTTGCTCGAACTTTCTCCAAAATAACCTGCAAAATCCAATTCTTTTGCCCCTCAAATGCATATTATTTGACATTTATAAAATTTTAAAACTTCAACTTCCGACAAGAAATAAGTTGTTTCCGTCTTCCGTGTTGTTCATAAAAATGACTTTCTTGCTTCTACCACCGGGTTTTCCACTTTTTCTAGTACAAAGTAAGCTTGAAAATTCTCGTACAACTGACTCCATCCTTTCCGCACTGGCTCCATCATAACCATAATAAAAACAACAATTCATGCATATTTTAAACAGAAAGTTAACCAGGTTTCGTTTCAGATGAGAAAAAATGCTGCTCCAAAACAAAACTGGTTTCCCTTCTTTGAACTTTCTCCACTTTTTATGGGATCACTTATTCACAACGAAATTCCTCAATTGACTAAATCGACTGCATATTTTGATGGGCAATAAAATTTCGAGAAATGTATCGCATTCATTTCCAGGGAAAATACATAATGGGAACCCTACACAGAGAATTTGGATGGTGTGCTGTGCTTCTCATATGAATTACATAATATTGACTTGTATGTTTGGGTGGCTAGTGGTAAAAAAATCCCAAAAATATGTAAATCACACCATCTACGCACGGGCCCACAGGAAGTCATTACATAATCGTGAACGTAATGTTGCATTATGAAGAGAAACGTATTTCTGAGAAAGTCTGGAAATTCAGAGCTCAAAACTCGACTAAAATCATTACTTTGTGATTAGAATGATGCAGAATTAGGACTTTAGATTCATTTCGAAATTAACGAAATTGTGCAAAATGATGAAATTTCTGCAGTGGAAACATTTCAGTGGAAACATTGAGCAGTGTTTCGAAGCAGGCATCAACATAAAGATGCGTAACTTCACGTCAAATTTTGAAGGAAAAGTCATCCTATAAAAATCTTCATAAGTGTTTGTACTTGTCACTAAAAAACCCTTCAATAATTTTAAATCTGCACCAAATGTAAATCTTAATTTTTACAAAGTTGCAAACTATTTTAAAAATATACTTTTGACTAATATGTAAATGACCCAATTTATCAGAAAATCTATCCCTCTAGCCACATAACAATTATTCTATTTCGCAAAATAATTTCTTATGCAAAAATATTCCCCTACATAAATATGCAAAATCCACGTGAGCACACCCAAAATCCCTGAACTACGCATCCATCTCGTGCACTTGAACTCTTACATAAGCACACTCTTTCATATTCCTAAACTTTTTTTGAATACATTTCTCTCGTCCATAACTTAACTTCACCCTTCTCAACGACCAGCAGCACTCACTCTTCGCAATAACAATGGAGCTGAACTCAAGACGCCGAAGGACGATAAGAAGAGTGAGTACGGCGAAGGAAGAATATAAAAGTCAGCCTGCCGCACGAACGAAGGGATCAATATCATCCTCTTCTGCCCGTTAAGAATACACTTGAGGCCTCAAGTCCCATCTCCTCTGCCCACTGCCAACCACCAGCTTTCTTTACGCACACGTATCCCCATTTTATGCGTGAATATCAACAACCACTCGAATATAATCGGGGAACTTGCGTAAAGAATGGGATGAATTTAGTGAGGAGAAGCTCTTTTCAAATCGGTGACATACGTGTCTTTACCGGCTCTGGTGATCAGGGTTGTTACTATTTCGGTGGTAGCATACTTCCGCTTGGTAATAGACTGCCACTCAATCCTATTAGTGGTAGGCTGTTTCTACATATAGTGACCCGCTCTAACCGAGCGGTGACATATTATTACCATCCCGTGAAGTCAAATATGTATACTTCTCACCGGTTGTTGATAATACGGTGGTATAATTTCTTAGGGTATAATTATAGAATCCAGTATGTATAGTGAATGGATCGCATCTTTTATGCACGCTCCCTTGGTTGATGTTGATGTGTCCCTTAGAACAATTTAAAAGACAACACGCAGCAATACCAAATCAATACAGACGCACATTCTGGGACTGCATTAAAGTCCAATCTCAAATCAAATGGTTGGCGGGGGCCTGGCAGAATGGATGGCATCGTCAAATGTTTGAGACTTGCTATGGCCCGAGCCGGTCATTTTTCGCGTCTCTCACTGAATTTTAAGACCAGTTTGTATTACTTTGTTCAAGTTCATGTGACAACATATTTTACAAAGTTGGACCTTCCCATCGACTTTTAACTCAACATTATTCAACTCAAAAACCTGAAAATATTCATTTTGTAGTAAGAATCACGAAGAAATAACTTACGACGTAATTGTATTCCAAGCAAAATCGAGCATTTCTTAATTTCATTATCTAAATGTTTGAGCTACCTGCAGAAATGCTTATTTTTCGTGTCTCTAACTACATTTTGAAGTATTACTTCTTTTGAATTGATGGGACAAAATATTTTTCAAAGCTCCGTCTTCCCCAGCCCAAACACTTTTAATTCGGTGTGTTTAATTTGAACAGTGTTCATCCCAAAAATCTACGATTTTCAATTCATAATAAGAATCACTAAAATATAACGTACGACGTTATTGTATTACAAGAAAAAATAACTACTTGTCTTAATTGCATTTAAATATTTATATGCAATTTACTCGTTAACACTGGAAACTCTGTACACTTTGTAAACTCCGTAAATCCTACACAAGGTTGGAAAGACTACTGAGCAAAATTTGCTAAAAATTCATCCTGATCGCGTCCCTTAATTTTATTTATCAGCATTTTACAAGGCTATTAAAGTCGCAGGGATTATAAACATCCTCGAAAAACGGTATTCTCGATCTCATCCTTTTCGCACGACCTCCACCTCCGTCAAAAATCAAACTATTCATAATACAGATGCACACACACATATATGTAAATTCAGTGCAATACCACTGAATTTCATCGGAGGAACCTTTACATTTTTTACAGTACTGCGGTAACAGTGCTTTATACCGAGGGAGATGACTTATAGGGCATCGTACCTTAAACTTTATGAAGATTTGAACAAGATGCATGGCTCGAGATTCACCTGGCTGCAGATGCGCTCGACATGTTGTCACATTTGTTATATGTCCTTTACATATTTCTACGGCTCCCTCAGTTCCTGGAAGGACCACGCAGAAAGGATGTGGTCAATTTTTAGAGAATTTCACACTTTACATGTCCAACGCTATAATTAACGTTGTGATAATTGAACTACCACCAGGGCTGTAAGGACTAATCCGTCAAATTAATTACGTCCTTTGCGCAGGGTCCCATTCCAGTGGAATTGTTTTTATTTCTTTATCGAAAAACTGTCCCGTAACGTTAAATCAATTCTATTTACTTACCACTGCTGAATCATACTTTGGATTTTTATGTTTTAGATTTTTGTATTCCTTCTTCTTCAGGGCACCCTTAGAAATTTATGTTACTTTTCCTCCCAATGAAATGAGCTGCATGAATACATTTTTGTCACAAAATGGCAAAGTTTTACCTCAAATTTGCATTTTGTTACCGGTACGTTTTACCATTAAATCGACATTATTGTTCCTCCCAAACTTTGTAATCTATTACAATCTTCTTAAAAGTGTTCAAAAACTGCATCCTTTCTCAAAACTTCACCTCATTTTCTTCATCGTAAGACGGCATCGTCGTCTTCCGTCTCGTTTTCCTAATGCACCTCCGCAACCCTTGTTTTGTTGGAGCCTTCAATTCATTAAAGTGGTCGAGGGATGTCCCCAAGCAGCCGAATGTAATTTGCTCTCCGGCTTCGTCGTTATTAAGCCGGCAACAAATTGGCTGCGCTTTTGCATTGCATTAAAATAAGTTGGTTTTCTTTCCAGCGAGACAAATTGTGTATCGGAGCCCGCCTCGGAAACCAACAAGACGGAGAAGTTTATCATTTTTATTGAGGAGGCACTCTCAGCAGGGCTATAAATTCTGATAAAGTCTTAATATTAACCCAGAGAAATGGACACCTTGGGCATTGCCGAGGAGGAAATGCGGTACACTTCCTTATTTCGTGGATAATGATGCCATTCTACGGAAGAAGAAAGTGTGTAAGGTGAGGTCAGCCAGGTCAAGGAAATGTTTGACCCGGCAACCCAGTGACATATGTATTTAAAATAGTAAACTAAAATTTGCTAATTACGCAATTACAAAATAATCAAACAGGAGATTAAATTAACTGATATTTTACCTGGCATTTCTAGTTATCGATACTAAATATTTACTTGTTCTAAAATTGGTGTGAAAACTGTACATATTCTATCGTCAAGCATTTATCGCTATTAAAATATGTTAATTATTTTTGTACAATTTTCATCAAAATGAATTTTTCGCAATGCTTGAGTATTATCTTACTGGTTCCATTAGCACATCACAAAAATTTCAGATTTCTACACGTTCGAAAAATACGTTTTTTTTCATACATTTACTAAATTACGCAATATTGAGTAGTCAATATTTTTCAGATGTGTGCACATGTTTTCAGTTCAGTCTTCTCGTTGCGTGACTCGCTCGAACGGAATCTTAGGATATGCAACACTTTCCGAGACACCATTGCGGAGAAAATAACAGAAATCTCACATCTCCAGCCGACCAAAGCTCAGTTTCATTCGGATCTCTGACAAGAGAACAGCTCGCTTCGTCGCAGTCTTCACTTTTCGAGTCTCAATTTGCCACATGTAAAACCTACCAAAAAAGTTCACTCCGAAAAGCCGTAAAAATAAGTATTCGGGATTCAAAAATTGCTATTTCGAGGGCATATTTTGAAATGTAATCAGCATAACGAACATAATTTAAATGTATGAAGAGTTTGAAACGAAATTGTAAGAAATTAAGCTTTTTCGTGTCCAGTGAAAACTGTTCAAGTAAAGCGACACATCTGTGACTCGTAGGTTTTTGGCAAATAATAACCAGTTGAAGATACGGTGGAACACAACAAAATAAAATAGTGACGTTTCGCAAGTGCAGTGTTTTCGATATTTTAATACATTTTCGAATTACTAGGGCAAAATTAGCATTTTAAAAAGTGTATTGATAACTAAATAGATAATAAATTTATGTTTTAAAGTTACACACTTCGATTAAACAAATCAATTCCAAATTGCTGGAGGAAAAAGCTCTACTTAAAATTTGTGTAATTTCAAAATTACGTATTAACGGGTTAAGGTAGATGAAGCTGCAAATCTGACAAAAAAATTTTGCTCCGGTTGTACAAAATTTAATTCAAAATAAAAAAAAACGTGCTTGAAATAAGAATCTGCCCATTCTTAAAAATAAAACTCTACAATTCTCAGGCAAAATTACACATAAAGCACAATCACCCCTCTCCTTCATTAGCCCATCAAACTCCCAACTACGCAAAAATACACCATTTTCCAGACTTTTTGTCTCGACATCTGCCTGCCATGTGTCGTCTCTTCATGTAACCCAACGTTCCACTAAAGTTCCTTGTCTACCTCAAGAAATAAATGAACATCCACTTCTGAAAATATTCACTACAAAAACTCAACTTTTTCAAAATTCACTCCATGTAAAACACTCTGCTCAACAGATTTTTTCAATAATAATAATACACCAACAAAACAACAACACGTCAAAGAGAAACGTCTCCCGGACAAGTCGGACAGGAAAAAATACATCCGAAAGTTCATCACAAGATCGTAAAATAGGGTAAAAACCGAGCAAAAACATCACCCCCTTCCATACATAATCTCGAATGAACTTAAGAGGAGATGTACAAGTTTAAATGTAAATTGCAAAGTTGAAGTGTTTTCACGACTTGGACAAGATTTGTATTTACCGTTTCCAAATCGGGAATTTTACTAAAACTACGACTTCCAAGTGTGAAGTGGATCGTTAATTTAATGAACTTTGTCGCGATTGAATTGCTCGTTTTGGCTGAAACTTTGTATTTGTGCAAGTGTCTCAGTCCTGTGTTTTTAAGGTTTTCGGTTTAAGTGCGTTTTTGTGACTACGGAACGAATCTGGGTATTACGGAAGGAAGCAGGGATTCAGGAATTGTTGACCTGAAGCAGTTTCTCTGAAGGATAAATAAGTGAAGTTTTCCTTAAAGTGGACATTTTAAGTCTAAAGATAGACGAGGGGACTAACGGTTAAAGGTGAGTAAGAGAAATTCTTAAAAATCCGGCATGACCATAATTACACATTGTTCAATGGTTTTGAAATTTTGGAAGTTTTATTTCAACGTGAAAATTTTCTGATTTTTACAGAATACATCAAATGTATCTATGGCTACTTTTAAATATTGGAAAGTAGTTAAGTTTTCAGTATGGCGTTAATCACTAGCAAATTTAAAAATTTCGAAGGTAACTTTCAAAAGCACTGCTTCACTTACAGAACCAAAATATTGTTTCAATATTCAAGACGAAGTGCACATCTGAAATGTTCCGATCTTTCAGTAAAATTTGTAAAATCTCTCTAATTTAGCAAGTTAAAGACGAGGGAAATCCACCTTTAAAAAAGAGACATTTTTTCAATCAAATCCTTAATTATTTATTACATCGTTTCCAGCATATCTTCCGGTACACATTCTTCGTTATGAAAATAGAATCTCCACAATTAGATCTAAAGGGCAAGAAAAATTAATTCTCCCAGTTTCGGCCCAAATAAATTCGTACATTTGCAAAAATGTGTGCAATTTTATTCTATTGGGATGTGCAGCGTACAGCTCCTTGATAAAATTAAATGCACAATTTTTCCCAAAAATGAACGGTTATCTTGATTTTGTGCAACCCTATTTAGTTTTATTGCCACTGCAGGCACACGATCTTGCACAATACGAGGGAAAAAGAAATATATCGCCCGTAGTAAAAGTTAACTGGAAAAAGTAAGAAAAATCTAGACAACAAAACCTTCAAATTGTTTTCGCCCAAAGGGTTTCAGTTTATCTTCAAGGCTGCCATGAAATGCAGTTTCTTTCTCCTTTGGGCCAAATGTTGCGAGAGAAATGGTGCATCGTGCAAGTCTGTGAAATCGGGATAATTATAGGTTTCGGACACTTTCTCCTAGGCAAAACGCTCCCCATAGACGCATATTTAGTACCATTTAAATGTGCACTGTTTTAATATTGTAATTCATATCTCGTATTTAATCTCTGTGATGTTTTTTTTTACGAAAAGCAGGATTTATCTAGGATCCGATTACAAAAGAAAGAAACTTTTGGAAAATGTATTTATTCATATGGAAGAAAAATTGCCACTGAATTGAAACGCCGTAGTTTTGTAGTCCATGCGATTAGCTACCCAAATCAGAAAACCGGAAGTCGATATCTCGACTAGTTCCAAAATGAGAACAAAAAATCGGGAACAACTCGCAAAAAAGATTTGCCACTACTACGAAAAAGTGTGCGAGCGCGTCCGGAAAATGGTTAATAGCCACTTCGAAAGAGCAAAAATTCCTAATGGGGCAATTTGCAGAGTTTTAGATATGTATGAGGAGAGCAGGAATGCTGAATTCAAAAAATTAAAAAATCGTCCTGCTCGTCTAGCGACCCCCAAAGTGACACGTAGACTTCGGTAGGAATGCCAAAATAACCTTGGGATATCAGACGGTAATTTGGGCTACAAATTGAAAATAGCAAAATTAAGTTTACATGACATTAAACCTACGAAGTTGGGGGTCAAATCCTATAAGGCGACACCAACACCAAAGTACAACCAAGGTCAGCAAAAAAGAGCAAAGCCCAACTCTCGGCAGATTGCAGAAAAAGCGTCAAGCAAAACATGCCCGTGATTCTGGTCATGGATGATGAGACCAAGTGCTCGATTGATCCAGATGAAGTCCCTGGGAGGAAGTACTACTCATGTACTAATAAGAAAACGTTTAAAGATTCCTTCAAATACACGCCGAAGTCAAAATTCCCCACAAAGCACATAATTGGGCAATCATTGGACTCATTGGGGGACGTCTCAAAGCCGTTCGTGACCACAGCCACCATGACCTCGGAGAGATATCTGAACGATTGTGTAAAGAAGATCTTGATCCTCTTTATCAATAATCGTAATGTACTTTTCAGACTGGACACAGCAACATTTCATTATTCAAAAGTTGTTCTGGACTACCTGTGGTCGAAAAAAATCGATTTTGTTGCAAAAAAGGAATATGCTCCCTACGTCCCTCGGGCAAGACCAATTGAACGATTTTGGGCATTATGCAAGAGAGAATATAGTCGTCGAACAAAACCAGCCAAAAACTTGGTAAGATTCCGTCACATTTTGTCACGCACCTCAAAAGAGGTAGCGAGGAAGAGTGGCAAAGCACTTATGGGGACCGCGAGACAAAATATTCGCCAGATAGGAAGGATGAGGGTCTATGGACCGTATGAAGCAAAAAATTGAACGCTAAGGACCTTGTTCTTAACCCCTAAAAATGTGATTGGAATTAATTAAGTTTTTCGGATTTTACAGGCATTTTTCAAAAGTTTCTTTCTTTTGTAATCGGATCCTATTTACACCTCGTGTTTCGTAATTGTTTCATTAATGTTTTTTCTAACAAAGACGTTTAAATATTTTGAAGCATTTCATAAAGATTTCAATCATAAACTACAGATTGAATTCCACCAAACAATCCCACAATTGAGTTTTTTGCAATATTGCAATATGCAATACAACATCGGCGTTTGTAAAATTTCAAAATTTTAAATACAGGCATCAAAGGAAATTCAGGTGGCCAAAATGTCAGGAAAAATGTTAGCAAACGTCCCCAGCCGAAACCTATCCTAAAGTCGCCTCAAACCATTTGCACCTCGCTTTCTTTCACTTTCTCGTCTTTGTGTTTTTTACAGCGAATTTTACGGCGTCCTATTTGCTTTCTCTGTTTTCTCCTATACTGCACCAACGTGATTATACCTTCCTCACGGTCACTTTATTACCGGCACCTTAACTAAGCCAAGTTTAAGTTACGACCCATTTTTACAATTCGTCCTCCCTTAGCACGTCGTTGGCCTTGGTTGAGCAGCAAAAGTGAAAGTAAAGAGAAAATAAAAAAGAGAAAGTCTTTCATTTCTGATTTGCTCGAATTTTGTCGCGACTTTATGCTTCATGAGGAACTAAGTAACGGAGTAAATTTCGGTGTTGCTGTTTCGCATACAAAAAAAGAGGGCAAACTGGACGTGGTCGTGGCATTATTGCATTGTTGGAAGCATATTCAGTTACTATTCTTTCCACATTAACGGGTGGACTTTCACTGTATGAAATTTTAAGGGTGGCCTGCCCACCATATTTTATCCGCAGCGAAGTTGACACTATGCAAACAAATCATGCAGCGCTGTAATGCAACGTGAATGAAGTATGTGAATGTAGAATGAAGAATTTACAAATGTCGCCGTTGACAAAGTCGTGTTGTTGACACTGCTTTTGAATTGAACAATGTTGCCCACTTGGCGACCGGGTTGTGTTTCGTGTTCCATTTAGAATTGTGTGAACAGACAAAATGTTGGCTTAGTGAGGAAACGTGTAGAAATAATATATGAAATTGGCCCTGTAAACTTGCCCATTAAAACGGCTGGATGGAGATCATGTAACAAAATGGCGAAAGTGAAAGTTGTGTAGGTGGTAGAAACGAAATGCAGTTTCGATGAAAGTGAAAGCGATACAAAATTCAAGGAATTTTCAGGCCAATTTTTGGCATACAGTTTATTCACCCTATTTTCATTAATAAAAATAATACGTTTGATGATTTTATGCACTCAATTTTTTCAAATTTTTTGCACTTTCTTAATTCAAAGATTTTTAAATGTATTTTTTAACAACCCAAAGTTTGGATTTGACTTAGAGCAATAATTTAGTAAAAATGTATATTAATTAAAAATTCGAAGTATTTTTTGGGCTCAATTGTTAAAAAATACATAATCAGTTCAGTGTGTTTCAAGTATAATTACCAATTTCGCAACAATTTCTGCAAAGTTTCATTTTGTTGCAATTTGTCCCTTTAAAAAAATGTTTCCAATTTGCTTCACAATCTTTGCCAAGTTCCTAACATTTTGGTCTAATGTTCCACACATTGTTTTGCCGAAATATCCCTACTTCCAGTTAATCCAAAATGTACACTTTACCCAATAACAGCCACGACATGAGAAGATGCGATTCTGCATAATTTAGATTTTGGAGTTCAAAATAGTGCAGAGAGTTCAATGGCTGCGTGGGTTGGACAGGTAAAATAGTTCCTAAATCGCATCCTTGCTGGCGTCATTTCAAAATTTCTTCTGCTTTCACCTTGAATAATAAATGGACAAACTCATCTCTTTCTTACAGAAACAATTCGACTCTTATTAATGTGGTAACATTCATTCGCTAAACTCGCTAAACTTGAAATCATTGAGTTGTTAGAAGTATTTTAGCACAAAATCGCGTTAGTAAATATTTTTGCAAACTTGCTTGAAAAAAATAATCTCATACAGTAAGAAGAAATCTAGATATTTTTCATAATATCTTTTATACTAACTTGAACCATTCGGCGTTGAAGTTAACAAATAAAAACTAAATTAAACTAACATTTAATATTCAATAATTCAATTTATAACTCTATAAGTTTAAAATGATTTCATAAATTTCTAAATATTTTTAAAATGATGTCTTGCTATTTTTAAAATGAAGTTTTCATGGAATATTCTATTTTGGATAATTATTTCTAAGATCCCAATCACTTTTTACTAACAAATTGGGGCTCACAATTGTTTTAATGCAATACGACAGGTGTAGATTTTGTAAAGTTTGTTTACAAAATTCAGACATTTCCGTCTTGTATACATTTACGGATTTTGCAAAGTTTGCTGTACGATAAGCGCATTAAACTGTAGATTTTGCAATTTATTAATTTTGTTCAAAAAGGATTGCAAAATTTGCTGAAATTTCGTTCGTTATATTGTGTAATTTCCTCACTATAACGTATGTAACACTGCTTAAATCTGTAATCTCTCCACTCGATCGTGTCATTCATACGCCAATCGAGTCTACTTTCTTTTAAGGATAAAATATCTGTATCGCATCTCACCCGCTGGATCACCACTTATCCGTCAAGTGGATTAAATCGGATTGAATTCCAGTCTGTCTTCTTTCTCCTGCGTATATGTTTTCCATTACTTTCACCGCTTGACACCACC